TTCTGTGCTTGCCAAAATGAATCCTATTCAGCGTGATGCAACAGGTGTTGGAATTCCAGCAGCCGCCTGCAACCCACATCTGGTAAGAGTTAGGAGTTTAAAGGAAATTCTGTAAGAACTGCTTATGTATAAAAACTATTCATCAGTCAAATCTATGGGCCATATTCACCCACCCGCTTGCACTGTGCATAGTTCAGATTTTTATGTCGTTTACCAAAAAATGTAATTCTGCTCCTTGTGAAATTTTAGGGATGTCAGGCACTTGTCCAGGCTGAAAGCATGTAGAGGGTGTGTTAGAAAGGTGAGGGAGGGGCTGCAGGGTATAGAAGGTGTGAATGCACCTAGATCGGTTCTGACTGGATCTCGTTTACATCCCGAAGCTTGGACATTCCCATCAGTACCCTGCAGAAAAAAAGAATTCTCCTCCATGTCCCAACTACCTAGTAAATAAACTATGTGCAATGTTAAAATTATCAGATGCAAACAAAAAATAGAGTTAACACCAAGCTTTGAATAACGTGAATTCTCAGCCTCTGCATGACTGATGTAATAGAAGTTTGTGGATAGTTTAGTGTTTGGTAGAAGTTTTATACATAAATAAGGGATCTAAAGAGGTTGTGAAGTCTCCATATTTAAGTTATTAAAAATTCACCTGGACACCTTTAGAACTAGGAATGGGTACAGGTGTCCTTTTATGATTAAAAAAGTCATATTAATTTGAGAAATTTTCTTTTGTTAAGTGAGGAGGAATTTCTCATGACAAAAACAGGCAGCAAGAAAGGCTTAATGGCTCTCAACATCTTTGGGTACTGCCTATACAGATACTGTACTTACCCTGCCAGCGCTGTGCTGAAGTTGTGTCAGTGTTCCAACTTCCCTCTGTAGTCAAGCTCACAAGCTTCATCCTGGTTTAGCTTGGGATCAGTGCTGCACGCCTGTAGTTACTTGTTTATACTTTCACTTCCTGAAATTCTGTCTAAAAAAGTTCTGAATAAATACACAATAAAGCCTGACTGCTGAAAGGATTAAGTGTCACAGAGTATCTTTCTGGGTAGTCATTGTCCACTGTTCCATCAGCCGTTTAATTCCCCTCCCTCCTCCAGTGCAGTAGATCTTAAAGAAGGAAATTAAGTTTTGATATCCTACAGGCCATCTCCAAACACATTATCTATATTAAAAAAATCAGTTATGTCTTAAGAGGCAAACTGCATTTGCGCTCCTCACATAGGAAATTTAAGGTTGTGAAATAGCAGGAAACTCGATAGGTCTTGCATATACATTATCACAGAAATATTTTAAAATAAATTGATCGGAGACATTTGAGACCACTCATCCTCCGCCCTTGTGCTTGCTCTACAGACCACACACAAATGCAGCGGGAGAAACAACCTAAAATCATTTCTGTGAGTTGAACAGGAATGCTCACATAATCACTGGAAATGCTCTTAATTGCTGTGGCTCAGCGGTACATTTCAGAGCTGTCAGATCTTCTGCCGCTGTGGAACTCTTTTCATGTCCTGGCAATCCCAGCCCAGCCAGCAGTTTGTTTATCATATTCCGTATGAGTTTCCGGATCTCCAACAAAGTGGTATTTACTCCCAGGCAGGGAAGACTGCAGTAATCCAGTAAGCTCTCATTAGCCTAAACTGCAGAAACATCTGCTGGGGTTACGAGCTGCTTACTTGCTGGTGATGAGCAAAGAATCAGCTCCATTTGAAGCTAGCGTGAACAAAGAATTGTAGGGTTGGGGGTGGTGGCAAAGAGACAAATGGGCCTCGATTGTCTCCTGGGCTGCACAGGCAGAGAGGGATGCTCCCTTACGTTGACCCCTGGTGACCCTGTCGCAGAGAGCACAGGAATTACAGCAAAAAACGCTTTGACTCAGCTCTCCCAAGCCGCTGGCCAGAACGGTGAGGCAACATCAGTGGAATTGAAGAGAATGTGGTCAGAGCTCCCCAAGAAATACCAGAAACCAGACAGTGCGATCTGTGCAGCGTAAATCTAGCTTGAAGTTAGCTTTGAGATGATTGAAGAGAATTTTGCAGAGGATGAATACTTTTCTGTGGTTCCCCTTTCCCACCCAGAGTCTCAGAGCTAGTTGGCTCTTTTCACAATTGCTTTCAGTTTTTGGAAGAGGAAGAAAAACCTCAAACCAGCACCTTAGTGCACATGAATGTCAATAATTCGTCAGTAAGAACTTCTAGCCTAAGAGATGATACACAGGTAGTAAGTACTGCACAAGTTCAGATAGAACAAAACTAAACCTACACTGATACAAGTTACAGAAGGGAGAACACTATTAACTCCAGATTAAAAAAAAAGAAAAAAAAAAGAGAAAAGATTGATAACCTGAATAAAAAGTGACCCTAGGTTGTTTAGGATTCCAACCAATTCAGAGCGTGTGACATTGTCAGGAAATAAGCAGAAAATACAAGATAAGTTATGTCACATCTGTTTAGCCCCTGCTCCAGTGATTTTGCAGTTCTTTGTGGTTGGTACAACGTAAAATAAGTCAGCATCTAATTCTGTGACTATTTAAAGGTGGAAGAACCTAAAACACTTCTGCCAAGAGCCAAACAACCACTTCAAAAGAATGTTCAGGAGAAGCCTCAGTTCAAAATAGTTGAAAACCCTTTCCTGGAAAGGGTGAGCTGCTTTATCCAACACTTGCTCTACCGTTTGAACAAAGAATTACACAAGTGTTCAGCTGATGGAAAAAAAAGGCTAAAATGCCCAGATCAATGCCTACGATTCTTCTGAAACGAGCACGGATCCTCGAGCACTCGGTGGTTTTGGATGTGCAGGGGATTTCGCTGCCAGACTCCCACTTCGCCTTGGGCCTGTTGTACAGATTCGACTGCCCCCTGCAGCAGCCAGAACGAACTACTGCCCCAGAAGAGTCAGAGATGACAGCGAGCAGAACCACTCTCAGGCATCTTCCTCAGGGGAGAGAGCTCCTAGCATTCCACTTTATATGAAAATTTGTACTGCTGGCTATTGCTTAAGTAACGTTTGGGCACATATGTGCACACAAAATAGTACCTCAATAGCAGAAAAATCACTTGACTTAGGGTGGATGGGTTTAATTTAAAAGTATTTCTTAAAAAAAAATTTAGATGACCAATGAGGTCTACCATCAGGTAAACCTAGCAATGAATTCTGACTTGTGTCTGTAGAGAGACAGAATTATCAAGATGCTATTTTCATTTAGTCTCTCCCACCTCATACTTAAGACCTCTCCTGAGCGTCAGAATGACACACTTGCAACAAGCAGGTTATAGGCACAAGGACACACATTCTAGTAATTATCCAAACCCAGGGAAAATAGTTGTTTGATCAGCTGCTGCATCATGTAGGAACCTTTTTCCTGAGATCTCCATCCACCAAAAGCAGACCACTCATCTGTAGCTAATCCATGACTTGGCTGCTTAGCAAAGTTCCCCATCCAGCGGCCAACTTGATAGATGCAGCTCATGTTCCCAGCCCAGAGCACGATCCTGCTGCGCGCAGCACCCCGGACTCACGGACTGAACGGCAGCACTCACAGGTGAACTACGGTGTCTGAGGAAGAAATAACAGATGCGTATCTTAAAAGAATTCCTTGGTCTCCTACTGGCTCGTGGATAAGTTTCTGCGAAAACAATGACACCGATATTCTATACAAGGAGGGTCTCAATAGTTTGTTGTATGTTGACTTCTCATCCAGTGCACTGCAAATCTTATTGATCCAGTTATTATCATTTCATTTTACTCCTAATAAAAGGAGACAAGAATCCAGTCAGACTCTTGGTAATAATAGGAAGAAAGCATGAATAGCACTTCAAGGAGTGCAGGAAGAAGACTCTCTTTTAAGCAGGCTTTATAGAAACATCTTGAGCCAGAAAGTGAACACTTAGCAGACATGCAAAGCAAAGCTTTTGAAAAATCACCAGAGAAAGAGGTTCCACGGTTAAAAAAAAACAACACAAAACCCAGGACACAGCATGTCTTTCAGAAAGAAATGCATCCCATGTACAAAAATGGGAAGTACGTTGAAAAACTGTGTCACACCTGGCGTGTGTATTCATAACAGAGCACACTCACTCTCAGGCACTTACTCCGTAGTTAGGTTTGACGTTTCTCTCCACATTCACGACCTTTTGGCCCCAGCACTTCGGCTGCCAGCGGGTCATGGCTGCCGCCAGGACTGGTTAGTGCCTGTAAGTCCATCACTGCATATACTGTGTAGTACTAGCCCTAAGCAAGCCTTGATGGAAAGAAAAGCTGCTCTAGGAGATCAGCAAAGATATTAAAACATTAAGGCTATAGATATAGCAATGGAAAATAGTATTTATTATAAAAAAAAAATAAAGTCCTTAAAGAGAAAGTGTCAGGTTAATGCAAAAGCATTTATGATTTTAATAATTTGTTTCCAAGACAATTAGGCAAGTTACCAAAACTTTTCGCTTGTTACAAATGACAAGGCTCCTTCCAAGTCTCATTAGTTGCTACTCACATAGCTTGTCCTCTCGGCAAATCCAGAAATAAGGGACAATTAAGAGTTCCTCCAGAAGTTGTTCATAGAGCAGCCAATGATGGTGCTGTACACTCCTACAGATCCTCCTGATCAGATCAGCAAACACGCAGTACCACATGCACAATTCCACATCTCTATTCTGACATGCTGCCTTCTAAGGAACGCTACTCCGGAAAGAGATGCAACTCAACGTACTTGAAGCCAGTTCCCAGAAAGGAAACCAAGGATTTTAAGAACACATAGGCCATATTTGCTAAGAATAACATTTCTCATTATTTACCTTTAGTATTGTCAAAGAAGAAGGTGATGAGAAAGGCCTCACAGAAATTAATCTTAAACTCTCATTTCCTATTTCCCATTTCCTACACACGTGCTGCTGGTTTCATGTTCTGGTAGAATTGAAAATTTGGACAAGTTATATATTCAAAGAAGAATTATGTTGGCATTGCTTTAGTAACCACTCGTTAGCAAACCATACATGAACTTAGTTGAAGTACCAGCGTTTCACAACATCTAGTCCATAATTCTCTTCACATATCGCTTGGTTATGCAGAGAAACTTCTTTACTAACTTCAAATGACAGGTTCTGCACTTGTGAGAAGTTCCTGGAACAAATGAAGCAAGTTAAATCAGTTACTGTGGAGCATAACTTCTGCTTAACCTCAAAGGCTACATGTCTGGACACTCATCTCATTCTATCATGGAGTCACAAGAAAAAAAATAAATCTAAAATCCGAGTTCTTTTCCTAAAGGCTAGAATTTTAGAGTAGAGAAGTTTACAGGAGGGAGTTCTGGAGTTCTCTACTCTCCTACATATTTGCACTTTTTCAGGGCTATTTTTGCTCACTGAACTCTGAGCTAAAGTGTCAGAAAATGACACACTGAAGTAGTTCACTTCAAACATACAGACAAAAAAAACAAACCCCAAACATCTTTAATTTGACTGCAGGTAGGGTAGGGACAGAAATGCAGGTGTCTGCTACGAACAGAATTAAACTTCGTGCTACTATCCCCCCAGTTAATCCTCCTCCAAGACTGCAGATTTTCCTCTGAATATGTCTGTTCACCTGGTTGTTGTAAATACCTTTGAAGCTCTTTATCCAGTTTCTGGAAAACATCTTTAAGCTCTTTCAGTACACTAAAGGCTTTTGCACTTTCTTCTGAGTAGCTTGGCATAACGTCTGTCAGAAGCTCCTGTGTGATAGCTAACTGCTCTTGTAGTTTACCTACAACGTGAGATGTTAAAGATACTACTCAAAAATGCAGGCAACGGCACCAGCTAATACAAGATTACGTACTAGCCAGAGTAGCCACAGAAACAGCTGAACTAAATAATGGAAACTACTGTTTACTCAGCTTTCAAACACGCTCTGAAGAACCTGTGAAAGGCAAATTATTTGTAGCTGTGTAGACTAACACTAGCAACAGGCTGTTAACACTGCTAATCATGCTCTCATTTAAGAGTATGTCAAACATTTTTACAAGACAAATGCAAGAGAAAAAACAAGCTTTAAATATCAAAAATTCTCTGAGCAGCATAGCAAACGCCTCATTATTTCTGAAAGTAAATTTTATGAATCAAATTTTCATACCAAGGTACGTTAACGTATCTTCTTCTATGTGAATATTCTTTATGGGTAATTCATGTCTAGTGGCATCCAGGGCACGTGCAAAGCTTTTGTACTGCTCTTTAAATTGTTCACAAACAGGAACAAGGGTAGAAAGTACTTCCATCTGAAAAAGACACAGCATGAACCGACACTTCTTCAAAATCAGCCATCTTGTTATTATAGTCCTGGCTCAACACAAAAAAATAATTTGCAAAAATCCCCAAGTACCACTCTGAAATGCTCACTGACAGAAGTACAAGTCTGTGTATGATACCCCCATCATGCTGCTTAATAAGTTATCCTCTACAGTTCCAAGACGCCATTATCGGTCATTATCGGCTCCCGTGGGACTGTAGCTCAGAGACATCAGCAACGTAACAGGCAAAGCGTTTTAAATATGATACATTGACTGTAATTAACAGTGTAGTCTCCAGAATCCAAAAGGCCACAGATGCAGAGGAATGTTCTCTGGATAAAAGATTACTTCACAAGTGAGCTTGTTCAAATATAGGAAATGCATAAACTACAATAAAGCCTACCTGTGTGTCCAACGCTTCATCAAGTTTCTCCTCTCTCTCTCTGAGTAGAATCTCACGCTTCAACTCACAGAGCTTCTCCTGTTGTCTCTCCTTTTCTTCACACAACATTAACAAGTTTTTTTCTGCTTTTTTCTCCAGCTCAGCAACATTTTTTTCTGCCTGTTACATCCAAAAAATACGCACAACTGAAGTAATGCCATGGCTAAGTAATCAACATACTCTGAATAAACAAATGTAAACCTCAGACCAGGTCAAAGAGGTCAATTAATGAATTGGAGGCACAATAAGCACAGTACATTACAGTTAAAGCTCTTTATGTCAGCTGTTTACAGCAGTTTTACAGCCAGAAACATATAAAGCCACAAAAATTTAACTTTCACAGATTAGAAAGCATAGACAAATTAAACAATTCTTCAACAGCAAGCTCTTCTATTTGAAACTATATACAAATACTTGACTGATTCTCACCTTTACTCTCAGGTAAGTCAAAAGCAGAGTCTGAGAGTCCAGCTCTTTCATCCAAGCATCAGAATTACCCTCCTTCAGAAAAGAAAAAAAACATACAATGATAATGTTCATATAAATTACTGGAAGTCCAATTTGTGCGTGGAATCATCATCAACCTTCAGCTCAGTGAAGAAAGCTGGGTTTTTAAACAATGCATACCTCTCTGTTCCACCACTTTTTACAATGTTTTGAGTAGATTTTTGCAATACTGGTAGAGAACTTGATGTTTCAGTGCTATGTTGAATGAGACCCCTACATAAGGCATTTCAAATTAGGTTGAATCAACATTAGTTTTCTAAATAAAAACGTCAGAAAATATTTAAAGGTAGCATGATAGAATTAAAAAGGATGGAGAGGAATACAAAACAATCCACTTGAGGAGATGCTACAGTTGGAGCAGATTCTTTACCGCAGGAAACGGAAGCAAAGCTTTAGTCAGCGTTGAGACGTTTGATAAACAAACCAGACATCACTAGCAGAACAGACAACCTCTGGCTTCTGCCAGAAGGCTTTAGAACATCCCAGGACCTCAAAGTTGTTATCAAGATTAAAGACAGACAGAAAATCTTCATTTAACACATTTCAGAATAAACACACAATAAATGAAAGCAGTGAGACTCACCTTTCGGGGAGGGTTTTGACACGTCTCTTTAACTCCTTTGCTAGCAGCTTTTGGAACAGGAGTCTTTTTGCAGACACTTTTATCTGTATCACAACAAAAAAAGTTATTGCTCTCTTCTATCAAAGTACGTAGAGTGGGTCAATACACCATCAGGTTCTTCAAAGGCAAACATATCAAAATTCTTACGTGTGCCAGTAAAGAACGCTTCTGCTCTATTTCTGACTGATGATACTCAAGCGATGAGGATGACATGAGCCTTTAGCTTTAAGTGGCAGGCACAGATAGGTGTGATACAATTTCCAGAGGGCTGGTAATCTAACACCCAACTGTTACAGAACAAAGACTTGAGAGTACTTTGGTCTTTAATATTTGATCTTAAACAACACCAACAAAGTACCCAAAAGATAGTAAAAATCCAGAGGTTAATTTAAACTCCCAAAGTCTTAATATCTCTGTTTAAACACTTGAAAGAACATTCATCTTATTTAATAAAATCCTTTTGTGAATCTAGAAGAACACGAGGGTCACTAAGCATCAAGTTACACCACATATGTTAAAAAAATAAAACAAGAAATTGAGTACACGTGGGAGCTTACCATTAATTGCAGAAAGATCAAGGTCTGGTCTACTAACTTTATCTTCATCTAATAAAGTGGACTGCAAGTCACCTTTCTCAAAACTACTCTGATTAAATGAGCTGGAGACAACACCTGTAGAAAGAAGCTGTTATCAAACTAAAAGAATTAGAGCACATTCTGCACAAGTTCACAATTGCATATGCTTTCACTAACATGTGGCAAACTTACGCTTACCTTTACACGTTTACTTTATATACACCATTTGTGTACTCCTTAATTACCTAGGGATCAGGTAGTTCAGAATGTTAGCCTCCTAAATACTTCCCAGTTCAACAACACTCAGATGTGAAAAAAGAATAATGTTATTTCCTCAGGATTTGCAAGTCAAGTTCAGGTCTTACCAGAAAATCCTTCTCCAATTCTTGCAAAAGAAATAAAAGTGGACTGTTTTGTAGACACCGATTTCCAGCCTTTTACACTGGGTTTATTAAAAAGGTTAAATAAGAAAAACGGGGCAATGGTGAGGACATAGTAAAAAGAGTCATTCAAAGCCTTGTACAGAAGGCAAGAGAAATGTTTATTTTAAACAACCCAATTACTCAGGTCTGTACTAGTTTTCTATCAGAAGGTCCAGACATGAGTTTAACGCTCTTGAATTTACTACCTCTTAATCCCACATCAAGTTTCTTAATCCCTTTTGTATACAGATAAAAACTGGCAACAATGGAAGTAACAAAAACTATCATCTCTTGACAACTTTTTAGAGTCAAGAATTCCAGTTTGGAAACACAAATTCACAAAAGAACAATTTTAAAATCCTGATAAAACATACCAACAGAAGTTTTACATTTCGGGGGATGAACTGATCTTGTTTTAGTTGCAGAAGATGGTTTAGCAGCAGACGTTGAAATGGAATTTGCTGAAGTATCCTGACAATCAAGAAACACATAAGACTGAACATACGCAGCAACCGTGAGCAGCCATGGGACTCCTT